TCTTTCTAATAAATATGAAGTACATTGGAGATCATGCTGAGCCTATGGTGGTAAGCACCAATGGCAAAAAAGGACAAATAAGATGACTTACTGACCTATACGGAACAAAAGAAGTAATGAGCCATCATTTGGGAGATGAGTGAGGACTTCAACCCAGCGTGAGGTGGCAAAGCTCCATTCCTGACTCTGGGCAAATTACCCAGCCTCTCTGAGCCCCAGTTTGCACATCTGTAGAATAGAATTCTAACAAATCCAAATAGAGGAGCCAAGTTTTCCTGCTCCCCTACTCTCCAGTGACATTCCTTCCATGAACCCATCCCCTTGGGAGTGGGGAAAGGAGAAGTCCTGTGCTCCACCTGCCCCATGTGCCACCCATTAGTCCATCAGGCTCAGCTGAGCCCTCTTAGGCCCATCCTTATACCATGATGGGCAAGTGACAGACCATATAACACATGTCTCAGTACATGGAACAGACCAAGAGTATAGGTTCTATCCTCCTGCCTTCACAGTGACCTGAAAGGCCAGCTTCAATTCTGAATTCCTCAAAGTTCCTCAATGAGTGTGACTTGTGGGAAGAAGGGACCCCGGAACCCAGGGCCACACCCTATTTCTTCCCACACCTGGCTCCGTCCCACACTGCAAGCCACCTTGTTTACATGTATATGGACCCCTCTGGCCATATGTCCAAATTTCATCCACAGCCCCCTGCAGCAGTGGCTCCTGACGCCCCCTAGAACGAGGGAGTGTGCAGGCTGACAGCATGGTGGACTCCCAGGAAGTCTGACCCAGGAAGAGGCCTGTGAGTGCAGGTGGGTTCAGGGCTGTCTGGGCAGGAAGCAGGGCTCGGGTGTCTGAAGAATGGAGGGACATGGGCTCCCAGTGGGCGCAGTCCCCTCAGCCCTGCACACTCATTGCCCTGAGGTATGTTAGGAGGGGCCAGAGCAGGGCTGCTCGTCTCCCCCTCTGAATGCCACCAGGATTGTTTCAGGGAAGATGCCTGAAAAGAAACATCTGCAAAAATGAGATTGCAAATGCCCTCCCTGAACCTAGGGCTTTTTCATGGAGACAGCCCCGCAGCCCCACAGGGCATGGTTAGCCCAGAGCTTCGTGCGTGTGCAGCTGCACATGGAAAGCTCTCCGGGACACACTGAGGCATCAAGAGGGCACACCAAGGTGACCTGGAACCCCTCCCCTACCCACATTTGGTAAATTAGAGAAGATTAGTCAAAACTGGAAAGAGACTCGAGGCTCACATTATCTCTGGATGGTTTGCTACATGTAAATAATCAGAACTTGATGGTGGAAAGCAGATTGTCCATTATCATTAGTATGATTTCAGCCTGCTTTATGGCTCCTCGGTGAGTTGAAAACATATTTTTGGTTTTAATATCAAAACCTGTCAGAATTTGTTTTGCTAAAGCTAACAGAATGATACAGGTCAGATCAATTATTATGAGAAATTCCATTAAGGAAGTGCCATATGCGGCACTATAAAAAAGACCGAGAAGCACATATGGCTAGGAAGAAGGGATGGCACTGTGTCCCCTGCACGTGCGTGACACCGTCATGCCCTTCAGGCCCTGCTGCTGTGGCCACGCTGGAACGAGAGACCCCTCCTCCTCTCCATCCCGGCCTCATGCCCCAAACCCTCCTGTTCTCTTCCATTGCCCCAACCCATGAGATTGAGCAACCAATTTAATTTGCATTTCTCTGCAGACGACTTGGTTAGCAGGACTTTTTGATATCCCAAGTAGTTGAGATATTTAAACAGATGACAAAGAAAACAAAAGCACAATTACAAACAGGGCCATAAGTTTGTTTGGATGCCCTCCCTCTGGCCCACTGGGTGAGTGGTCAGGGACTAAGAACACCAACTCTGGAATCAGACCAGTGGGGTTTAGGTCCCCACTCTACTACTCCCTCTTCATGTGACAGTGAGCAATTTACTTCATCCCTCTAAGCCTTGGTTTTCTCATCTATAGAATGGGGATAATCACATCAGTTTTCCCAGGTGCCTATGGGGAGAACTAAATGAGATAATGCATGTTAAAGCACTTAGAATGATGCCTGGTGAACAGTTAAAGCTCAAGCCATTTTAGTAATTATCCTCATGTCACCGCAGGCAATAGGTTTGATGGAAAAGCATGCGATTTAAGTCAGGAAATGTGGATCCGCCACTGGCTCTAAGACTATGGACTAGTCTTCACCTCTCTGGACCTCCATTTTCTCATCAACAAATTGGAGATAATCATACCCATCTGGCGGAGTTGTTTCAGGAGCTACTGCATGCGGAAAGTGCTTGCAAACTATTCTGTGATATGCAAGCGTAATTTAATGTAATCATCTCTGAGCTAGCCCCGAGCCTCAGCAAACACTGGACAGATGCCATCTACATGAGTTTGTTCAGAATATGGATGGTCCGGCCGGTTGAGTAATAACTAAAAGCATCCTAAGAGTCTAATGATGGAAAGCAAAAATGAGTCAGAAATGTAGCAGCCTGGACTCAAAAGGGCCTGAGATGTACAGCAGAGCGGCGTTCACAAAGGAATTGCCTGACTGATTGTACTTAATAGCTTAGCATCTCTCAAATAGGTTGGTTTAAAAAAAAAAAAAAGAAAGAAAGAAAAAGAAAAAAAAGCCCAAAAATTGATATTTGGTAGTACAGCTTCCTTTCAGTCTATAAATGGTTTTGTCTGTAATGGTTGTGTCCCTCGAAATTATAATCCAAGACATAAGCCGGTCTGAGCTGCCGAGATGCCCCACAATGGCAGCCATTCCTGGGCTGGCCAGACCTTGCCTTGGAGTTTTGCTGATGGAGGCAGCCAGTGACCGGGGTCGGATCGTGGAATTTTTCAAGCTTCTGGTCCCAGCTCCTGGCTAACGATGCTGCCCTCTGAAGGCCCTTCCAGCCTGGTCATTCTCCAAGGCCAGGTGAACTGATTATTTACACACAACACTTCTTGCTTGGACTCTGAGGCCCAGAGTGTGTTAAGCATTTTTATCCTGAATCTCTCACTTCATGAAAGCCTGGGAATACGTAATACAGGGAAATAGAAGGGGGAGTGAGCATTGAAGGAAAATGAAAGGAAGGCAGAGAAAATAAATGCTCCCCCTGACTATGCTTGGCTTCCTCAGGTGAAGGAAGAGGAAGGGTGTGGTCAAGGTCGCACCCGGGCTGGTTCTGAGGCGGAAGCAGTTTGGGGAAGCAGCAGCTGCAGAGCTCAGGAGCTCAGACTCCCCCCCACCCAGGAGGGGGCCAGTGCCAGGCATGGGCAGGGCGGTGCTCCTTGGGCTCCTGTGGTGTCAGGAAGAGGCCATGGGCCACACCAGGAGCAGGAGACAAACCCCCAGGCAACAGGCAGAGAGGAGCAGAGCTGGCCTGGGTGGTGGACCCCATGCTCCTCCGCCAGCTCTGGTCTTAACCTCATTTCCTCTTAGCTGTGGTTAAAGAAAAAACTCCTCAAGTGTGTCATTTGACGTTTCAGCGGGCACATGCCTTGCGGCTCTTCCAGCCCTCAGCTACTCTCTCGCCTCAAGTTCTCTTGTCCCCACCTGCCTGCACACTGGTTCTGCGCTTTCTCTTTCTTCTTTCTTCAGTCCTCTTGCAGCTCTCTCTACTTGCTCCTTCTCAAACCCTGTGGTTCAAAGCCCCACTTTCCCCTCCTCCTTCCTTCTTCTTCAAATCCCCTCCTCCCTGCTTCTCCTCCTCCTCTTTGATCTCCCTCCTCCCTGCTCCTCCTCTTCATCTCCCTTTTCCCTGCTCCCCATCTTTCTCACCCAGTTCTACTCCTTCTCTCTCCCTTCTACTTGCCTCATCTACCTTTCCTGTTCCCAGTCCATCCCTTCAAGATGTCCTGATGGGGACTTCCTGATTTCTTTGCTTCTGGCTTCGGGAACTTTAAAGGTAGATTCAAATATATAGGTAGCTGTCAAAAGGCCTCAAGATTGGTGGAGAAAGAAAACCATAGGGTGGATAGTGGTGCATGTTTAAATAAGTAAAATAGGTGTAATGATAAAACAATTTCATTGTAAATTTTCTAAGAATGCAGACTACTTTTTACATTTCTTTGTAGTTTCCATAGAGCCTAGCAATGTGTCCCACACATAAAAAAAAATACTCAATAAATATTAGTTGAAAAAGTGCCTCCACCAATGAATGGAAGCATATGGAAGCAAAATGTGCTTTTCTTTTCTTTTTTTTTTTTTTTTTTTTTGAGACAGAGTCTCGCTTTGTTGCCCAGGCTAGAGTGAGTGCCATGGTGTCAGCCTAGCTTACAGCAACCTCAAACTCCTGGGCTGAAGCGATCCTGCTGCCTCAGCCTCCGGAGTAGCTGGGACTACAGGCATGAGCCACCATGCCCGGCTAATTTTTTCTATATATATTAGTTGGCCAATTAATTTCTTTCTATTTATAGTAGAGACGGGGTCTCGCTCTTGCTCAGGCTGGTTTCAAACTCCTGATCTCAAGCAATCCACCCACCTTGGCCTCCCAGAGTGCTAGGATTACAGGTGTGAGCCACCACGCCCAGCCAAAAATGTGCTTTTCTTTCAACTGAGCACATACAGCCACAGTGTCAATGGAGCCAGAAAGCATGTCTTCAAAGAAGGTTCGAAATCCTTGGGAAGATACATATTCACTTATAATGAGTGTAAGTACTAGTAAAAGGTAAATGTTGCTGCTAAGATTTTCTCTGTTCCATGGGCTCACATTTCCCTTCTTTACACTACTAATTTTCTTGGAAAACCCTCTTAAATACAGGTGGAATCCCAGTGCACAGTTCCATACACAAATCCACTGACTGTGCCCCGTGGAGAGGCTGGACTCTTTGGCCTCCTCCCCCTGCACCTGCCTGGTTCATCTGCTGGACTCATCTAACTCATCCTTGCAACAAATGTTCGTTTTATGCCTCTTTTTGCCAACCTTGATGCTGAGTTCTTTACACATACCATCTCATTGAGTCCACACAACACTCTGAGGAAGGTACTATTGTTAGCCTTACTTTTCAGATGAAGAAACTGAGGCTAAAGTTGCTCGCGTAGGTCCACCAATGATCCCCATTTGCTCATCGCTGAAGTAGCTCCCAGGACATGGGCCTTGCTGTTTTCAAAGAAAAGAGGTCCGGGGCAAGCTGTCCCAATGTCCCCGGGACCGGGGGATTTCCCAGCTTCCAGTGCCGACACTGGGAAATCCCCACGTAAATTGGGTGATATGGTCACCCTGCCGTGGTCACGTGCCCAAGGCCGTCCAGCTGGTTCCCATCAGACTCAGGAGTCAGAACCATCCCATCTGACGCCAAGGCCCCATTTTTAACTGCTCCGCCTCACCCACCCAACCACTAATCCTGCATTTCCGGCTGCTTCAGAGACATCCCACAGTTGCCTCATACTCCAAATACCACCCTCCAAAAAAATCTCCCTTCCCTTAAAACCCACTGTGCTAATTCCTCCTCTGTTAAGCAATACCCAAAAGCATCCTGAGAGTCACTTCCAAACCTCTCAAATCCCTCCCTTCCTTGCTATTTCATTTACCACAACTCTGGCCCAGGTCTTCAGCTCCTGAATTCTCAGAACCAAAAGGTTTCTCTGCCTCCAAAAGTCCACCCAGCACACCACCCTCGGATTTATTCTCTAGAAGTGTAGACCTGAAAGAGAATTCCAGTACAACTTTGCATCTGGCATGTTACAAAACTAAGGCAGGGAGAATTAGACGGCTCATGCAAGGCTACACCAGGGCAGAGCCCATATAGCACCACCCCCTTCCTAACCTAAAGGCCAGCAGCTTTCCCAAGCACCTGCCCTTGCCTCTCCTGTGACTCCCCTGGGCCGCAGAGCAAGTCCAAACTCTGCATCTGGAGACATTCCAGCCTCCTGGCTCTCCCTGAAAGTATATCAAGTACCCTCTCTGCTCTGCTAGATTGGTCTGGCCCTTGCAGCTGCAAACCTCTGGACCACCTCTGTATTCCTCTATTCTTGCCTGCCTACCTTTCCTCCATTGTTGAAGAGGTTTTTATTGAGCACGTACTATGGGCAAGTCTTGCTCTAGCAAAGGCACAGGAGCAGAAGACACAGTCCCCAAAACAAGCAGCTTCCACCCTAGCTCAGGTTCCACTTCTTTGTGACCCCTCCCCCAGCACCTTTCCTTATGATCTTCCAGGACATGTATCATCAGTACCGTGACTTTTGGCATTTAAGCTGTTCAATCTCATTTTCTGTCTGCTCCACGTAGGTGGGTCTCCATTTCTTAATAAGGTTGTCAGGTCTTGGGTGTAGTAATATGGGAAACCCTTTCTTCCTGCTCCACAACACATCTGACCTTGCGGCGGCCAGATCATCACTGCTTGAGAGCTTCTTGTGGAGCTGAATTAAATTGGTCACAACAGATTCTCTGTCACGAACAATCCTATGCAACAATTTCTCTGATTCCAGTGTACACAGCAGTCATTCTGACAAAGAAAAACTTTACTGCATGTCATTTTCATCGCAGTCTAGAAGGGCAAGAGCAGACACCAAATTGACCCATTTACATTTCTTTTTCCACCACTAGGGAGGAATCCCCCCTTCCCTGCTCTTTCTCTTCCTCCAGACGTCTCAAAGAATCTAACCATCATCTTCTGAAACCCCCCTGTCACCTTCCACCCCCTCAACCAAATGCACATACCACCTCAAATACTGAACCACAACTCAGATTTTTAAAGTTCAAGGACTAACAAGAAGGAGCAATTGACTCATTTTTCCTTGATTCAAAGTGCTGTGGGTTTTGAAGAGCAGCCCTGACACCCCTTATGTGAGCCTGTTTCTGAAACCAGGGCAGACCAAGGGGGCTCCTACATCCCCCCCCCAGATTGGACAATGGACCATAAATTCTACAGGCTTGATGTGTGACCTTGGGCAAATAAGTCCCTTGACTGCTCTGGGCTTGAAATCCCTCAGCTACAAACGGAGGGGCTTCTCTCTAGGCCCTCCAAGGACCCCTCCATGTGCCCATTCGGTGACTCTGACTTATTTCTCACTCCTGGAGTCCCTCCATAGAGCAACCTGCTCCAAGAACAACTCCAGTCCCAACAAATCTTCCCTCACCAACACAGCCCTTCCATTGCCAGTATAAAAGATGGAAAGATGATTTCTCTTTTTTTCTTCTTTTCTTTTCTTTTCTTTTCTTTTGCTCTTTTCTTTTCTTTGTTTTTTTATTAAGTTTCATGCTGAGAAAAGCTCATGAAAACTTCTGGTTCACCCAAGATGGAAAGAAACTCCCAACAAAAGGGCAAACAGGGCCAGGAGTGGTGGTTCACACCTGTAATCCTAGCACTCTGGGAGGCCAAGGTAGGCAGATCGTCTGAGCTCAGGAGTTCCAGACCAGCCTGAGCAAGAGCCAGACCCCATCTCTACTAAAGAAATAGAAATTAGCTGGACAACTAAAAATATATAGAGAAAAGTTAGCCGGGCATGGTGGCGCATCCCTATAGTCCTAGCTACTCGGGAGGCTGAGGCAGTAGGATCGCTTGAGCCCAGGAGTTTGAGGTTGCTGTGAGCTAGGCTAATGCCATGGCACTCTAGCCAGGGCAACAGAATAAGACTCTGTCTCAAAAAAAAAAAAAAAAAAAAAAAAGGGCAAACAGACCTCATGGGCTCTCAGCTGTCCTCTGGAGGTAAAGCTGCTATGAAAACTTTGGTGGTTTGATTTCAGAAGCTCATAGGGATCCCCAAGCCATTTACCCTTTCAGAATAGACAGTAAGTAGACAAGAGCAGGCCTCACAAAAGCCACCCCCGGCTTCGACATTTTGTGGATTCCTTCTTTGGATGGCACGAAGGGCGTCAGGTTCCCACTGGCCTTGGCTTGGAGAACTCGCTTGTGAAGGAGAAGGAAATACTGTCTCAACCACAACTGCGGAGAGCGGCTCTTAATAAATATGAAACCCTTTGCATCTGCTGAGTAACTTGATGAGTTTGGATGTGCAAAGGGGGCCCAGAGCAAAGTGTGGGAAGAGAGGCAGGAAAGAGTTGAATTTCTATGCAAACTAATATGAAAAACTGGAATTTGGGGGGAGAACCCAGGAATCAGGGGATGAGTAAAGGGGAGAAGGATGAAGAGAGAAGAACTAGCAAACTGGATGAGGTGTGGGCTCTACGTGGCATGCAATGGCCGGTGAAAACTCTCAGGGAAGGGAAGCCAGAGCTTGGATGTCTGTTTTCAATATGCGGTTGTGGACTATTGTGATAAAAGCCCCTCCATCTTCCTCTTAAATCTACTCTAAAATCTTCTCTACAAACTGCCGTGAATAAATGGGCCTTTTTGTTTGTTTTTGCTGTTAAAACTCAGGGAGGAGGCTCAATTTCAGGTATGAGTCAACATGGACTCAAACAAAAGGAGTAGAGCCATAACATAAAAAAGCAGGAGTTAGAAGCCGGGATCCATTACAAGAAAATGACCCTCCAAAAGTTTGGAGAAATTGCTGAACATTCACAGTGTATGGAATTGGTGGCCCAAGCCCACCTTTTCTAAATATCGGTGGGAAAGAAGAGGCCGTCCGTGTGCATGTGCGTGAATGCACACGTGCACGGACACAGAGATCACTGGAAAAACTCCAAAGAAAAGGCTAACGGAGAACATTTGGCCAGGTCTGGGCGCAGATACAGGGAAGCCAGGCTGACAGAGAGCTGGTGCTCTCTGGAATGTGGGCAGGCAGAGTCGTGGCTGCTGGCGGGGATGAAAAGTCAGCATCCGGGGAGGAGGCAGCTGCTGGCGGCCGAGGCGTGTGGATGTGCACGCCAAGCGCTGTCCGCAGGGAGGGGAGCCAACCAGGAGAGTTTGAGCAGATGAGGTAGGAATTTCTCTTGATGGTTCAATGCTTTTGCAAAGAATATTTGGAAATGTCTAAAAGCCATGGTGCCTCAAAGATGGAAGACGGCTTCCCCCTATAAACACAGCCCCTGTTAAAGCCGTTAAAGAGTGTGCGAATGCACAATAGGAAAAACTGAACCGAGAAAGGGAACGGGGAAGGTTAGATGATGGGAAAGAACCAAATTCCCAGAAACCAGAATATAATCCCAGGGGGTGCAGGGAGGATGAATGCAGCCACGGAAATAGACCCTTCCATACGCTGGGAACGACACAGAGACAGCGAGGAGGGACCAGCACAACCTCACGGAGACCCAGCCAGGCCCTAAAGCGCCTCCTCCCCTGCCATGTTGCATGTCTTCAGTTTCGTCCATTTCTCCACGTGCTTACTGAACAGCCAACACAAGCCAGGCACGTTTCTTGGTGCTAGGGATGCCAAGATGAAACACCAGGCCAGGCCTTGCCCTCTTGGATTTAGACTGCAAACAAGGGGGCAAGTGCACAAACGAATGAGACTGTTCTAGATACGACCCAGTATCCTATGAGCAAAACGAAGCACAGAACCATGATGGAGAACCACCTGGGGCAGGGAGTGCTCTAGAGAGGGCGGTCAGGGAAGGGCTCTCTGAGGAAGGCTCACTCGAGCAGCAGTAGGAGGAGGAGGAGGAGATGCTGGAGAAAGGCATCCTGAGGAGAGGGTGGGAAATGCAAAGGCCCCGGGCAAGGCAGAGGGCGGGTGGGATGGAGCTGGGAAAGTGAGTCTAGAAGCCCAGGGACAGGTCCTGTGCGTCCCTGGCAGTCACCATGAGCCCAGTCGAAGCGGGCAGTCCTCCAGGGCGCCATCCCCAAGAAGAGTCTTTTTCCTGAGCTGGGGGAGGCCATTTCTCCGGGGAAGAGAAACGTGGCATGAGCTCAGCACCCACGGAGGAGGCTCCAGGAGCAGTGCTTACCACGAAGAGCCACCAGATGGCTCCGTGAGGAGACTGCCCGCTTTGCCATTGCTGACGCTTTTCCTGTTCTAAGGTAGAAGCATTTTTTCCCACTGAACAAAAGCTTCTTTAGCAAATAGCTTTTTTAATTTTTTTTTTTTTTAACGAAAGGAATCAATAGCAACTAGGCCAACAGGGCAGCCCAGGTCTAAGTCATCTCTGCCATCCTGATGGCCAAAAGAGGCAACTTCTCCATGCCCCACTCCCGAGCTCCCATTTTTTTCAAAGCATTGTGCTCAGCCCAACTGGCTTGGTCACCCTCCTGTTCAGATAGACAATCCTAGGAAAAAAAGAAATGCCAGTAGCCCAGGCCATAGGCCAAACTCAACTCTCCAAGGAGCAGATTGCCCAGTAATGACATCTAAGCACTTAAAA